GGGCAACCCTCGGGCACAGTTGACAGGATTATGGTCTGGCTTGGCATCCTGGAGAACACTCAGTATGTAAATTACATACTCATGGACCTAATGACCCAGCACTTCTAAACACGGCTATGGCATATATTACAAATTCTACACAGGTCCACAAGGAAACTCACACACAAGGATGTTCCTTGCAGCATCATTTGGGAGCTCATACAGTTGGAAGTCATCTGGGTATCAATTCCCAGGAGGGTAGATGGGGAAGTGTGGTGGAATATTAGGCAACAGTTCGAAGTTATGGAATTACACAGGGATAGGGCTTAAGAAAAGATTAAGCAACAGGATGGGGTTTGTATTACTTACATCAATTACTTACATAAACTGTAAATTGTGTGTATTTAAAAATACATGTAGGCAGAGCAATAATACAAATTTTGCTGGGAATACAAACAAAAAAATATACATTAAACACTTTGTAACTGTCATCCATTGAGAGAGAAACAAAAGAACGCAAACCGGAATAAAAACAAAACTTTAAAAATGAAAAAACCAAAATGCTGGCTGATTTTTTCAGACTTGTGCAATGACTATGAACCTTGACCCGAAGGGGTCTCAGTGCTGTTAGGCTTCAGCCGTGACACTGTGTGTAATATACAGCCGCCCATCTCTCACCAAAACGGGCCTCGAGGGGTCCCGAACTCATTCTGGCAGCCACGGTCATCCTGTATGTCAAGGCAGGTGTCCCACCAAAATGCCCATCTAGTGCCTGATTTTGCTTTCTCCCTCTGGAGAAAAGTGTTTGTGCTCAAGGTCTCTGAGGAGAGGTTCTGCCCGGTCACATGACCAACACCCAGTGTGGTGCACCCGTCATTTGGACAGGCTACATTCCGGGCAACGGGACCAGCCTGCAGACAGCCATGGGTCTGGCCATGATCCTGGTTCTAGGACGATAAGACAAAACATGACCTTTTTTTTGGCATAAGCTCCTCTCAGACTCAAAAGAGGGCAGTCACGTGGGTCTTCCCACACTGCACAGTGTCATTTACTCCCTGAATGCAGTGTGGAATGTGTCCGTGATAAAGGAAGTATCCTGTTTGTGAAACTCTCAGCATCTTAGGCCTTCCACACTAGATGGATTACCCCGTAAATCCAAATGAGGGCAGGGTAGGAAGGGTTAAGCTAGGGTATGAAGACAAGAATCTTTGAATCCGTTTATCGCTAGGAAAAATCCAGATGAGAACACTCCTAACTGTGTCATTTTGGGCACTTTATCTTATCGTCTCCTTTGCAAGAAGACTGTTGTGTAGTAATGCATTAGAGAGTTAGCACAGTGGTCCAAAAATCTTAAATGTTCAACCAATGTGAGTTCCTTTCCTTCCCCTCATACCTGAAACGTGTTAGAAAACGTTTGTAAAGACCACTGCAATCTTCCCAAAGCCTGTATGGAGCTGAGCAGATCGAGGTACTACAAACATCTGCTGTTACCTATAGCCTGCCTGTATCTGTTGAACAAACTTTACATTATTTTCCTCCAAAATGCGAGGTTACAAGGAATTGCTTGAATATGTTTTGAATGTATTTTTTTCTTCTCTTCTGTTTTCTGAAAATTATAATAGGCTGAAACCAGAGAGCAGAGAGTATGTGAGCATCTCTGAGCCAAAAGAAGGGAGAGTTAATAGCCTGTTAACTTCTGTAGCTCTTGTGCAGAAAAGTGGACGGGTTTTGAGGTTATAGAAACAACCTCTGCGAGTTTCCAATCACCACGCCTGTCTCATGTCCAAATCCATGTTCATTTCCCTTCCTGTTCTCCAGTCTTATACTCTGTTGGATTGATTGGGTAGAATCCAACTTTTCTGTGCAATTTTGTGAAAATTGACCCCAATTATAATTTTTTAAAGGAATTTTTCCCATAAAAATATTTCCTTCACTTGTTTTTTAATGTAGGACATTTCCAAGATCCTATTGTAGTACATCTGGTAAAAAAAAAAAAAAAAAAAGCTAGCATTTAACCATTTCATAGCCATACTTTAGGGTTGCTAAAGCAATATTCCCAAGCCAAAGTATCAATGACTCTATGTGCAATTTTTACTTCACTATTTATTTTCCTGTTTTTGTAGTAATAGGAGCCATAGTCTAGAGGAAATAAAGGCCTTTGGTCCTGCATGGCCCTGCCATCTGAGTATTGGGTGGTGAAGGCCCAGACATTCATGGCATGGACCCCATGAAGTCTTTTCACCAAGCAAAAAAGGTCAGCAGAAAAACATTTCCAAATATTGGACATTAATTGCACTTACTAAGGCACAGGTACCTTAAAAATTAATGAAAGAAATATTCAGAGAAAGGACTGGTGTGCTGTTGTGGGGGGAAGAAATGTGTACTGTGTTTTTTAGACGAAGCAGAAATATTACACTAGCATCTCAAATTCTCGATCTATTCAGTCTTTCTGAATTGCAAATTAATTCTCATTTTGCTCGATTGCTTGCCATTGAAATGTAACTTCTGTATTGGTTCTTATAAATTCAAAAATTATAGATTCAAAAATATAGAGATCAAGAGTTTTGTAGGAAACTGGATGCTGAAAGCCTATTGAAAAAGCAAACAAAAAAACAGGTATGGTGACTCACACTTTTAGTCCCAGAACTTTGGGAAGCCAAGGTAGGAGGATTGCTTGAGCCCAGGAGTTCAAGACCAGCCTGAGCAACAGACCTCATCTCTACCAAAAAAAAAACCCAAAAATCTGCTGGGCAAGGCAGTGTGGACCTGTCCCAGCTACTGGGGAGGCTGAGGGGGGAGTATTGCCTGAGTCAAGGTAGTCGAGGCTGTGGTGACCATGAGCATGCCCCTGCATGCCAGCCTGGGTGGCAAGATGAGTCCCTGACTCAAAAAAAAAAAAAAAAAAAAAAAGCCAAGCAGACTAACATGTAAAATGGCCAAATAAAATATTTACAGTGCAATATTCTAATTCAAGAATGTACAGTAGCAGCTGAAATAAATCGCTGTATTAGGCTATATTTTCATCTATGAATGAAACTTCATAACAAGATTATAAAAGTGATTTTTATTATTTTGGTAATGGTGCCCCAGTATAGGTAATCGGATACAGATTTTTATTTAATTTTGGTATATCAAACAGTAAAAGCTACATGTTAATGCTGTTTCACAAAATCTATTGTGTTTACAAATATGTACTGTGGCTACTACTCACAAACTATACATGATCAAGTACAAAAATAAGAAAAGTTTAAATAAAAAGTCATCCTTGAGTTATAAACATCTACCAAAGAATACCTTTTTATTTCCCAGTTGTGTTACAACTAAAACATACAAATAATATATATTGCTATGAAACTATCTGATCTAATATCGATCTAGTATGAAAATATTAAGGCTGCAGTAATATTTCACAGGAAAAGGCTAAGTTCTGGGACATGGAAGTTTTAGATAATCCATACAACAAACCTGAGACATCTTTTTGTTTTGGAATAAAGCGATGTTCTTACGTCAAAGCCTTAATATGCAAATGAAGCATTTACTACACAATATACTTTAAGCTGGAGTGAAAGTTCTGACGTTAATGGTCTTCAGCAAATACATTCTATGTCTGGTGGAAATACGACGAGGTTTCCAATAACTTCCAAGCACTTTACTTTCTTCTGTATAAGCATAGTGTTCTCTTTGCCGCAGCAACATGGACTGAGTCTCCAAGCATAGAAACAGATTATGGCACATCTGGGCCTGGTTGACTTCATGAGGCATCCCAGATTGGTACATGATCATTTTTGCTGCTGCACATCTCTAGATCTAGAAAAACAGGCTATGTCAGCCTTCCCCAAATCACTGTCTCAGCCCTTTCTGGGACCTAACGTTTTGGAGTGGCCAGTGCCAAAAATGTATTCGGCAAGCCTGATTTCTATAGTTGACTGACTTTAAAGCCTTTAAAAATACTGACACAAGCACTTCTTCATATTCAAAAGATACAGCTATGAAAATTTCTAATAAAAATTACAAAAAATTGTATAGCAAAAGATTCCAAACTGTACAATAAATCTGCTATATTTTTTTTAATAGTCTGAGATTTAACTCTGCTACTCTGACATCTTTTTTCTAAATGTTCATAAGCGTCTTAAACATTTCTAAAGCTTCAAATTTTGTCCTCCAAATTAATTAATTGGAAATGAGTGGGAAAATGTTTGCCCATATTTACTCCTTTGCATTCTCTCTTTCTCTTACCACCCACTCACACAGCCATAATAGACTTCTCTTTCTCTAATTTTGATACAAAGATTCCAAAAAGCTTAATGAAATATAAGCAGCATGCAACTTCTTCTGGAAGTTTAATTGTGATGAAAATTAAAACCTGAAACTTCACTTTATACTGTTGTAATCTCCCATCACTTTTCTAAAGATTTTCATGCTATTTATATAAATCAAGCGTATATATTTTGTCTGAGCTCTAAGCTTTCCCAGCTACCAAAGTAACTGCCCACAGGGTTAGCCACCTTAAATGACAACGCTAATCTGATCAGCTCTACTGTTCTACAATGTGGATCTCAAAAAAGTTTCCCAAGACGAGTTTCTAACCTTCCAAAACACAGACATTGATGGTAACTTTTAAAAATCATTTAAAAGAAAAAGTAGGTCAGTTTTAACAGGAGTCCGCCGCCTTGTTGCCTAGTAAAGAGACTATCTAGATAATTCCTGGCATTTTTCATACTCATCAGGCAGACCCAGATTAGATTTATTTGCCTTCCAGGATAATGGTCAGATTTCCACTAACTTCAACTGGAACACAATAACCAGAATGGCTTTAAAATTAAGTTTAAATTTAAGCATGCCAACAGTTTGGAATTTTAACACATTAATTAGATTAATTTCAAAACAGATTCTGTGTCATGAACATCATTTTAATAAAAATGCTATAAAATAAGAACATGTCCTAGGACTTAATTTTTAGATCTGTCAATTCTCATTCAAGTACTGGATGAGAAAAGAGACTCTGCTTGGTTTTCATGATGTCAAAATAGACAGTAGATTTAATCAGGCTCGTTTAATATAGTTTTGCAACACTCAGTTGAACTGCAATATTATATAAGGCATACTATTCAACCTTTTCTTGGACAAGATAATACTAATATACTGCTTAGGGACAATTATGTAATAAGTGTAAATAAATATTGCATACTGTTTGGTGAAATCAGTACATTACAATCACATAATTTAAAGCTTAGTTGGGCTGGCAACCTTTTGGGTTTTTGTTATTTGCTCATAATTGAAATGATGTGCTTTGGCAGCCAAGAGAGGCACAACTTCAGCTTGGAATTTTACAGCTTAAAAACGAACACTTTAAAATTCACGATAAATCACTAAGCTCGCTATAATCATGAATTCAACTATTATTTTCTTTTTGAGCAACTGACATTTTATGATTTGTCCTAAAAAGTCAGTAAGTATCTCGATCAGCACACAGAGAAATCCACCCATAAATACTAGAGTCTGTCTAAGCGATTTTACTGAAAAGGTGAGAAGGGAATTTCTGGTCTTCACCGACTCCCTGATCACCCTCAATCACAAACTTTACCCTGAAATTCCTTGCCTTTGTGTCTTCAACAATAGACCCTGAAACTTTGCTGAACACAGTGTTCTACAGAGATTTCTGCACACAGATACCAAAGTTGAATCCCACCCAGAAAGGCATGGTTACCAAAGTACCTCTTCATCAGATAGTTTTGTGGTGTGTGGTGTGTGTGTGTGTGTCTACATGTGTGTTTTAACTCCAAAGAACCCGACTTCTGGAAATACCCAGCTCTACCATATCTATAAAAATTCCTCGGGACCTTTAAGGCTTTGACTCAAAAAAGCTTCCAGGAGTCCTGGACAGCCCCCAACTGCGGGCCAGTCGGTCGATGCTCACCTCAGAGACTAGCAGAGAAGTAGCACAGAAGAGGAGAGAGAGAGAAAACGACATTGTCCTCCTCGTCCCCTAAGACTTCTACAACCCCCGCTTGCCTCTGGCTTCTCACTGGCAAGCCTCCTCGGCTTGCAGCTTCTGGACAGCACGATCGAGAAGCTCCATGGACTCTCTGAGAGTGACGCTGATTTTAAACGCCTGGGGTTTAATGGTCAGGCCGTAGCTGAAATTCACCTTTGAGGGCTCATGCGGGTTGGCCTTGAAGTTGCACTGGTGGGCCAGGATGGAGATAAAGAGAAACAGCTGCATCTTGGAGAGCTCTTCGCCAATGCACCGTCGCTTGCCCACCGAAAAGATCATCACACTGCTGGTCAGGTCCTTGTTGATAAAGCCGTCCTCGTCCAAGAAGCGGGCGGGATCAAAGTCCTCTGGGTTAGGCCACTTCACTGGGTCATGATTCACAGACCACTGGTTCACAAAAATCACCGTGTCCTTGGGGATGTGGTAGCCCAAGACAGAGGTGTTGGCGGTGGTGGCGTGCGGGATGGTGACAGGCACAAAGCTGGAGAAGCGCATGGCTTCATAAAGAAAAGCCATGACGTAGGGCAGATTGGGCTGGTCACCCATGCAGGGCAGACGGTCCCTCCCCACAACCCGATCCAACTCTGCCTGTACTCGAACCTGCACGTCAGGATACCTGTTTGGTGTTTGATGCAGAGGAAGGAAAAAAATGAGTAAAATTAATTCTTCTTTCATTTAAAAGGCACGTTATCATTTATTTTAATTTCATGTTTCCTAAACAGATATCAAGGTCAGCAACTGAATTAATATCTCTAGCAAAACAAAAAACAGTTCCCTAATTTCTCACTAAATTACGAGATGAACTTGAACAATTATACTTCCTGTAATAACCCCTCACATAGTTTAAGTTCTGTTTCCCATTTTAAGTAAAAAAAACTCAAGTTTCTTGTAACCTAAAAAAGGGCACAATTAATAGAACGATTGACGTATCCATTGAAAAAGTGTCTCTAGGTCCCACGATACTTTTTAGGGACCCACAAAAATGTTTTTCTGTCTTTCACAACCGTCAGACCTAAAAAAATAAATTAATAGACTTTTAGGTAGAAGAAAATGTTTTCATATATCATTTTAATGTATTCGTCTTGATACCAAGGTAGTCATCAAATACAATTTTTAATGTTTTTGTCTGGAGTAAAGAGACAAAATAAAAAGCCAGGGCCCACAAAAGCTAAAATATGGCTCTGAAAACAGATTATTTTTTCGACCTCATTTCCCTGTACAATTCCAATAGTCTCGCTTTATACAAAGATAATTGATGCCCTGATGGGTCAAGCTACATACTGTATTTCTAAATTTAAAAGCAAGTTCCTAATATTCATAAGATTATGGTACAAATTGTAATTCCTGTTCACTGTTGATGATATAAACTGGTACAATCCTTTAGAAAAACAAAATCTTTTTTTTTTTTTTTTTTTGAGTTAGAGTCTCAGTCCGTTGTCCAGGCTGGAGTGCAGTGGCACACTCACAGCCACCCCAGTGTCAACCTGCTGGGCTCAGGCGATCCTTCCACTTCAGCCTTTTAAGTAGCCGGAATTACAGGCCCGTGCTGCCAGACCTGGCTAATTTTTTTATTTACTGTAGAGATGAGATCTCACCAAGTTGCCCAGGCTGTTCTCAAACCTGTGGGGTCAAGCAATCCACTCACCTCGGCCTCCCAAAATGCTGGGATTACAGGCTTGAGCCACTGCACCAGGCCACAAAATCTTAATATAAAGCAAGATTCACAAGGGTAACCCCTCCCCTGGTTGGTTTTTTTTTTAACCCAATAATCAGTGCCTAGAAATGTATTTTCAGGAAATAATTCAACGGGCACAAAAATGTGTAGCTAAAATTGTAAAACTGTGCTGGGCATGATGGCACACGCCTATAGTCCCAACTATTCAGGAACGGCACAATCACTTGAGTCCAGGAGTTCGAGGTTGCAGCGAGCTATGATCACACCACTGCATTTCAGCCTGGGTAACAGGGCAAGACCCTGTCTCTGAAATAAATAAATACATAAACACATAAATAAGCAAAACATTTAATTAAAACCAAAATAAAATGAGTAGAGCATGCCTGTAGTCCCAGCTACTCGGGAGGCTGAAATGGAAAGATCCATTGAGCCCAGGAGTTTGAGTCCAACCTGGGCAACATAGTAAGACCCCCATCTTTAAAAAAAAGTACTAAAATAAATATTTAAAGATAAGGAAATGTCCACTACAATAAGTCAGAGGTTAAAAAAAAAAACCAGGTAACTAATGATTGCAACTTAGAAAAAACTTAAACTACATGTGATGAGTGTTTTTAAAAATTGTTCTTAAACATCATATTGCAGGGGTCTGCCAACTCTTTTCATAAAGGGTTAGATCTGTCACAACCGTTCCGCTCTGCCTGGGTTGCACTGTGAAAGCAGCCACAGACAAAAACTTGAATGGGCACAGCTGTGTTTCAGGAAAAAGAGTGATTTGCCAAACCCTGTATATTGTCTCTTCACAACAAGAAGAAAAGCTCTTTATCAATATCTTGAATCTAAAGTGACTCTGGTATTGTTTTATTTCCTTTTGTTGCCCAATTGGAATACACGGAGAACTATTTATCTTGGGTTCTCATGAAAAACAAAGGCTGTTTCAAAAGATGAAATGCTTATCTGGGGTTGCAAAGCACCCAGATAAATCCATCCTGTCCTGGGAAGGCCTTGTCCCTGATCTATGGGTTGACTTGATTCGATGCCTGTCTCCCCCACCCCATAAGTGTTGCTATGCTCTCAACACTGAAAAAGTTCCTTTCAATATAGAAAAACTTTTAATTTGTGAAGGCCAGCTGTACAGGATCTAGCGAAATATAGATTGCGGTGGGCTGTGAATGAGACGAGAGAGAGGCTGCCTCTGCCTCCGATGCTGGACGGTGGTGGGCCTGTAAATTCGCATCTCCTACCGCTAGCTTGTACACCAAGAACCGGCACAACCAGGCTTTTTGGTCTCTCAGGCAGGCAATCGACATTCGCCTTGAGCGCCGACATTTGACCCTGGGCTGACATTTCCAGATAAAATGCACGCCGCCCACCTAAATCTGAATTTCAGATCAACAGCGGCTAATCTTTTAGTGTGTGTCCCGGGTCAAGTTTTTTATTTGCAAAATTTGGCAACCCGCACCAGGGCCTGCTGAGTTGGTGCGAGGAGGGGCGTTGTAGAGGAAGCCGCCTTATCAGGTGGGCACTGGGGACAGGGAGCCAAAGCGAGGCGGGGACCGGGGAGCCGCCTGGGGACTCCGTGGGCCTTTCTGGACGCTGCTCCGCACGGGTCTAAGGACGGCGCCTTGTTTTTTGCCCCCAATACTTTCTTACTCCTAGCGCGGCGATTTTATACACCCATCACTGCTGGTTTCTGGCCGCCTTCCGAAAGCAGCGCGGGCCACCCATCCATCCTCTCGGCCGGTCCCCGCGGGCTTCCTGGCTTCCGGCGCCCGGGCGGCGACGACCACCCGAGCCGAGGCTGCCGGTGTAACCTCTTTACGGCGTCACCCTTTCCTTCGGATCGATCTTATTTTGCTTCTACTGAGCCAGAGCTGATCTCAAGACTGTTTAAAAATCGTGTTTTTCCGGGGTTTGGGCCGGGGGTGTGTGGGGGTACGGTTCTCACTAATTTGTTCTCACTCGCAAGCCGGGGAGGGGTGGGGAGAGACCAGAGCCGGGACGGGGAGTGGTGGGGCGCCGCTGGGTGGGGTGCGCGCGCGTGGCTGGGCCCGCGCTGCGAGTCCCGGGTGTCGCTTTGGGACGCGGCCTCCGATTTCAGCGACGGAAATCTGCGGCAAGACCCCCAACCCCGCGCGCTGCCTGCGACCTCAGCGCACGCACGCCCGCCCCACTCGTGCGCCTGTGCCCGGGGAGGCAGGGAAGGCCCGACCCACGCGTCCCGGGGGATTACCTGATGAAGAGGAGGAGCAGCCACTGCAGCGCGGTGGACAGCGTGTCCTGGCTGGCGCCGAAGATGTCGGTGACCGTGGCCGGCACGTTGTCCAAGTCCAGCCGCGCGCCCCCGTCGCCCGCGTCCCCGGCCTCCTTCGCCGAGAGGATGAAGGCGTCCATCATGTCGCGGGGGGCGGCGCCGGGCCGCAGGCTCTCGCGGTGCCGCAGGAACTTGTCGAGCACGAAGTTGCTGAAGTTGCGGTTGAGCTGCTCGAACTCGCGGAAGGCGGTGCGCACCGGGTTGGGGAAGCGCTGCAGCCAGGGCAGCACGTCCACCAGGCTGCCCGCGCCCACCGTGCGCCCGAACTCCTCGTTGTGGCTGAGCAGCTCGCGGAACTCGGGGTCGTCGTGGCTGTAGCGGCAGCCGAAGCACACGGCGCTCATGACGTTGGCCACGGCCACCACGGTCAGCGGCCTGGGGTCGAGGAAGGCGCCGCCCGCGCTGCCGCGCACCAGCAGCGCCA